ATAAGATCAAGATTATGAGAACAAATAAAATTATTGATTAAAAAAGACTTGTTACAAAGAGATCTGACATTAAGCGTAGCAAGTTTCAAAGTTTCAGTATCAGCGGTTGTGGTCGGCTGATTCTTACACGGAACAAGAATTAGATTTTCCAGATTAGACTGATTAACTCCAGATGTCTTTCTGTAATGTATTCTTTGTGTTATCACTAAGGGAATGGCACAGGTGGCTTCATGACAGGGCCCCAGCCGGGTCTCTCCTCTAACTAGACTGCCAGTGGCTGCGAAGCAGAGACCCTGTGCATCCTAGGGAGAGGAGGGAGGAGGATGGAGAGGTGGGTGGTTCTTGGGTGTTGGACGAGGGGGGGTTGGAGGTGGATGGGTGTTAGGGGAGGGGCAGGAGTTGGGAGATGGACGAGGGGGGAGTGGAGGTGGAGGGGTTCTTGGTGATGGGAAACGAGGGGGGGGTGGGGGTGGGGCTGGAATGGTTTTGGGGTTAGGGGAGGGACCTGTGGATTTTGCGGGTGAATTCGAGTTGGACGCCCTAGGTGGCTTTGGAGGTACGTATGGGGAGAAGTTATGAATGTTAGATAGGACTCTTGATCTGGCTACAGTGGGTGTGAGAGGAATATTCTTCATCGCCGATCTTATCATGCCTGCAGAGTGTTCCGGTAAATCCAATAGTGATGGAAAACACAGGGTAAGGTCGTCCTCATGTTCCTTAGATGGAGTGGATGTAGCGGGGGGGACCCAAACCGGGTCCATGGAAGGTGATGAGGGAGTCTTTGGTGGAGACGGAGGTGGTTGAGAGGCCCCCAGTGCAGGCCTGACTGTTGCCTGTAGCAATGGGGGGGCTTCACGGGAGCTGTAGGTGGGGAAGGTGCTGCTGAAGATGATGCAGCAGCCACAGCTGGTGCTGGTGGTGTTGATGCTGAAGGCGCTGATGACGCTGTGGCAGCCACTGCTGCTGCTGGTGCTGGATCCTTTGCTGATGATGATGCTGGTGGACGTGTTGAGTTCTTTTGAGGCGGTGGAGGTGCCGAGACCTCTGGGTTCCGTGGAGAGGGTCTCGCCCTTTGTATCCTCCTCTCTTTCAACGGCTGAACGCGCTGCGCAGGCTGAGGTCTTAAGGCAGATGCAAAGTTATCCATCAACACTTTTACTCCGTATTTGTTCAGATGTGGGCCTTTCCCTTCAAAGAGCTCGAGCCTATTCCAGAACAGATTGAAGTTTTCAATGAATCCAAGTCCTCTGCGTGAACACTCATTGTGTAGAAATGAATTTAACTGGTACAGACGGCTAAACATCTCGATTTTTCCATCTGCATTTGGAATGGGGCCACTGATTAGCACGTTTAACTCAATTTTTTTAAGGTCATCCAGCAGCAGAGAAAAATCTCTTCTCAACTTCTCGGTGGATTTCTCATAAATGTCTACTGCCCCTGTGTGTATCAACAATGTACTTACATCCTTGGTTTGAGATAAAACTTTTGGCACCAAAGCTCTTATCTCAGACACTCTGGCCGAGTGCAAAGAATGAGTCTGTACAAAGTTCAAAGATACATTCCGAATGGCTGAATCTCCAAGCAGCAAACACCGTGGCCTTGACGGAGGGGGAGAAACAGACTGTGGCTTTATATAGGACACCTGTATTTCTCCTATGGGGGATCGATAAAGTATCTATCTATTTGGCGTTGGCCTTTCCCATGTAATCATTAAAGTGCTCTGGAGCCTTTTATGCCATTTTAACATAATCCTTGGTATAATTGTACACTCACAGCCTAGACGTGTTGACAGTTCCTCTGTTCTTCTCCGTGTTCTTGAAGATCACCTGATTTTCCAACGACTGACGCACGTTCATGAAGAAAATGTCATCTGAATAACTTTGCCACACTAAATATCATCAAATATCGTCTTTAACCCTTTTCTGATCACAAATTCATTCCTATTCACACACTGTTCATGCCTCACGGTTGCAGAAGTTCCGCAGTGGCAGTTAACCTGAAATAGCCTTGACTTGTGTCTGAAAATGCGTGTTCTGCCTTCATCACAACCTTTTTGGTCCTGACAGGTACTGCAGGGCTGAGACTGACTTAAGCATATAACCTTTAGTACTCAAGAGTCTGTTTATGATGCTGTAACCACCTTTGGACAATAACAAAGTAGTCCCAAGCTGTCATACCAAGGGAAATTGACCGTGAATTGACAACAATCTAATTTAGAGAATCTCAGGCCCGCAGTTTGCATGATGGGTAAGGCTTGTTACCAAACTAAAGCCTACATTTAGTAAAGTATCAAACAATCAATCATCATTTACGTCTATAGCACAATTTGTGTTCAAGGCAATTCAAAGTGATTCACAAGAGCAATAAAACACAGATCAAAGTGCATTAACTCATTCACTGCCCATGACGACAAAACTCGTCATGTTGAATAGTAACGCTCACTGCCCATGACGAGTTTGACGAGTTTTTCATGTTATTACACGGGAGCCGGGAGGCTACAGTAATGTCTGGCGCACCTTGTGAATGACCCACAATACTGATATATAGTGCAAATGTACCTGTAATGATAAATCAACACCAGTAGGATGCAGTATTGCACCACAGGAGAGGTCATAAGTCAGTGGAGAGAAGGAGGAGGAGTGTGGGGTCTTTGGAGAGCGTGCTGCTGTAGCAGAGCGTGCTGCTGTAGCAGAGCGTGCTGCTGTAGCAGAGCGTGCTGCTGTAGCAGAGCGTGCTGCTGTAGCAGAGTGTGCTGCTGTAGCAGAGCGATGATAGCGTAGCATTGAGACGGATCAGCGATCTAGTTTAGCGATAGTATAGCAAGAGTGATGGCGAAAAAGAATAGTTATAAGCAGTGTACACTGCTTCAGAGATTGACTCGCGGATCAGTGAGTGAGGTCGAGAGGGGAGAGAGTGGAGACCCCGGTGGAGGTCCGTCTCTGCAGCTACATTTGCGCGGAGCAAGAGCAGAGACACACCTTCCGCCTCTCGCAGCGTAACAGCTGCTGTTGTTACTGATGCCTCGGATTCGTTCAGCAAACCTGATCATGATTTATCGGATGAGTGGTTGCAGTCTCAATCCAGCAGAGCATCCTCTCCAGAAGCTCCACAAAGAGTCGAAGGTAAGAACTTGCTAAATTGCCTAGAATATGCTAACTTGAGAGGAGGGAAAGGCGCGGAAACTTGCTCTGATCTGCAAAGTAACACAGCGCTCAAATCCTACTGTTTCTTTAGTAAATGCCAGTTATGCGTTTTATCATTGTTGTATTTATTATTTTTATGTTTAGTTATTTCATGCTTCGAACATCTTGTTGTAGTGTCATAGCTCTGACTAAATGAAATGTGTCCATTCACAGATTCTGATAAAAGAGCCCTCCCCCTGTCCCCCATTGGGGTTGACAGGGCATGGAGGTAAAGATGATTCCTCCTCATACCATTGTACATATTATTGTATATATTCTCCTGGTATAGTGATTTACAAATTTATATATTTACAGGTGGTGCATCGAGAGGCAGGCATTTTACATGACACAACACACATGTGAGAATGGAGGGTTTTTTACTGTGTCAATGATAATGAAAAACAACTCAAGCATGCTCAGACGCCTTGGAAGTCAAATGTTTATGTTATACACCTGGTATAACGGATGTCTCCCACCTGGTCTACCAGCTGGGCTTCTAAGATCCAACTTAAACAAACCTGCAGCATTAAGCACTGAATACAGCTGCATTAGTATTACTTCAGAACCCCCCCCTTTCTCTCCATCCAGCTGCACTTGCTGCTCTCAAAGTGTTGTGAGTCAGATCTTGGACCACAATGCTGCAAGAAGCTTTCAGAAAGAATAATAAACTGGCTGGACATGACGTGTGTGCGCATGATGTGTATCTTTGTTTGTGCGTGCCTGTGTGGACGTCTGCTTGTATGTCTGTAAGACTAAATTAAAAGTGCTTTGTGTTCCTCTTGAGTCCTGCCTTGGACATAGCCTCTGATGTCTGCTGAGGAAAGTTTTTTTTTTCCAATAAAAGCACATGGACATGTTCTTTGTTTGTCCGAAATTGTAATCGTCAAATTTAGTTTAGAGCCACACACAAATCTAACTTTTGTTGCATAAAAAATAAAATAAAAATCAAAGTGGATGTTATGATATGAGGAGATTATAACATGGACTAAATGCAAAGACCATAAACCAGACAGAAGTCACAAGTTGATAAACTCTTCTCAACAGTGAAACGCTTTTTTTGATAAATATTAAGGCTCTCAGTTAAAATAAAAATAACGGTGCTAACCCATTTTTAGGCGACTATATTTTATGACTGAAAGCCGCAGCAAACATTTCTGTGGGTCATATTTTGGGCTGACGAGCGCCTGGCTGCACGGCGGGTCAGCTTACTTCAACCATGACTCATGACTTACTATATTACTCTAGTATTCTTGCCCGATAGTGTTTTACAGATTTATCTACAGATAAATACAAGTATATATTTCTTTGCACTACAGCAGGGATGTCAAAGTCAAATACATCAGATGCAAAAAACGAGTTCGCTACAAGCCGAGGGTCGGACTGGTTCAATGTTTATTAAAAGATATTAAAAGGATTGCATAAAACATATTGAACCAAACCAACACAGTGTACCATATTTAATGATTAAATGAATAATCCAACACTTTTGAATGGCTCTATCAGTCATTTCAAGTGAAAACATTTTTCAACAGCTCAAAGACAAAAACAAACTTCCTTCAAAGAGAAAACACATGTCCTGAACATTAAATTCAAAATCCAATATTTTCTTATGGCTCTGTACGGCCGGTTCTAATTCTAATCAAATATCATCTTGGGGCCAAGATTATTCATTTGCTGGCCGGATTTGGCCCCCAGGCCTCGACTTTGACTCCCACGCATTACAGTATACAGGTTTATACTTAATGTATACGTTATTTCTTTATTTAGCTAAATACACCCTGGACCTCATCATGCAGCCCTCACCCCCTGGACCTCATCATGCAGTCCTCACCCCCTGGACCTCATCATGCAGCCCTCACCCCCTGGACCTCATCATGCAGTCCTCACCCCCTGGACCTCATCATGCAGCCCTCACCCCCTGGACCTCATCATGCAGCCCTCACCCCTCTGGACCTCATCATGCAGTCCTCACCCCCTGGACCTCATCATGCAGCCCTCACCCCTGCCCAGCCTCACCCCCTGGACCTCATAATGCAGTCCTCACCCCCTGGACCTCATCATGCAGTCCTCACCCCCTGGACCTCATCATGCAGCCCTCACCCCCTGGACCTCATTATGCAGTCCTCACCCCCTGGACCTCATCATGCAGCCCTCACCCCCTGGACCTCATCATGCAGTCCTCACCCCCTGGACCTCATCATGCAGCCCTCACCCGCTGGACCTCATAATGCAGTCCTCACCCCCTGGACCTCATAATGCAGTCCTCACCCCCTGGACCTCATCATGCAATCCTCACCCCCTGGACCTCATAATGCAATCCTCACCCCCTGGACCTCATCATGCAGCCCTCACCCGCTGGACCTCATAATGCAGTCCTCACCCCCTGGACCTCATAATGCAATCCTCACCTCCTGGACCTCATCATGCAGCCCTCACCCCCTGGACCTCATAATGCAGTCCTCACCCCCTGGACCCTCTGGACCTCCTCTAGCTCCGCAGAGCTGGCATCAGGTCTCCTTCAGCGCGCATATCATCCGTTTCCCACAGACGTGCAGAGTGTGGAGGCTGTGTGCACACATGCCGGCGAGCATCACATCATCCTGACTGAGCTCGCCTCCTAAACCTGACATATGCCGCATTAAGCCAGCGCTGCGGCTGCGGAGGTTCCTGGAGAGACTTTGAGCTATTGTGGATCTGACAGGACGTCCCGTTTGGAGGGTTACAGCACAATTTCCAGGAAGGTTTCTCTTTGTGAAGATGATACTAAATGGAATCTTGACTATAGAGTTAACGTTTTTTTTTTTTTTAATTAGTATAACTATTGTTCATTTATTTAGTGTTGTGTGCTCCTCGTTCCTACTGTTCTGTGATGGAACACTGACATTTCTCCGCTGTGGGACGAATAAAGGATATTCTTTGAGTCTGGAGGTTTTGGGGGTGGCTTTCCTCACGTACTGTACCTCTTCAGATGGATAGAGGCCTTGAAACAAGGTCAGGGTTTGGTCATTTATAACAAGGTTTTTGTGTGTTTGAGGGTGTATTCAGACCTGCACATTTGCTCCACTTTAAACGAACCAGGATTCGTTTGGAACTCTGATCCGAATCTTTTATGCAGGTCTGAATACACACAAACGAATCCTGGTCCGGACCAAAGAACCGAACCGAGACCCACTTTTTTAGGTGGTCTCGGTCCGCTTCCAAACGAATTCTGGTCCAAGTCGAATCAGGTCTGAATACATCCGGTGTCAATCCGACACAACTCCAAGATACGTGCGCATTTTTTGGGCTTAACAAGCACCGCAGACAGAAACTGAGGAATTAGCCACGCAGCGGCTAACTATGCTGCTAACTATGCTGCTAACTATGATGCTAACTATGATGCTAACTATGATGCTAACGCTACACAACAACAATGAGCCGTGTGCAGACCTGGAGCAGTGAGGAGACGCTGTGCAACAGACTTATGGAGTTAAAACTGTTCACAGTATACATTGATGTTAATGGCAGCATCTTCAAACCATTTGCATTATTAAAAGCCTGACACTGTTTGACTCACGTCTCAAAGAGCAATATTCCGCATCATGTAGTGAATTGTGTTCTTTGGTTCCTACCTGATCCTCAGCGTCTGTTTGTCCCGTGGTTATTATAGATCCATGGTTTATCCACGATGCTGCTGTCAGTAAGTTGTGGAACAGGGTTATTATCATAGATCCATGTGTGGGACAGGACACGGAGCGCACAGAGTCTCCTTCGGCTTTCTCCTCACACATTCTCCAACACTGTTCCAATATTTAAAACAACGTGTTTCACCTGCGTCATATGAGCTGCTGCTGTTGATGTTGAAGGTGGTTTTGCTCTAAAAGGAGCAAACATAGGCAGAGCAGACATGCTGCACATACGAGCCCTCAATGTTTTCCTCCGGTTCCGCATCTATCCTCCGTGAGCTCTCATTGTCCAATAGGAGCGCCGATCGTCACACGTGTCAATATGTTTATATAAAAAAGTTCACTTGCAAAAAGGACAGTCTGAATACGAACCGGAGCAAAAGAAAAAAGTTTGGTCCGCTTTTGATTCGGATCAAGCAAGCGGAGCAAAGGACTTTTCAGGTCTGAATACACCCTGAGATTCCACTCACGTCATGGAGACTGGTTTTACGTTGTGGAGCCCGAACGCCGGACCCCACTGGAGTCCGGCGAAAAAGAAAAAAAGAAAAAACAAAAATACTTTTCTTCAACACTCAGAAAATGACGAACCAAAGGCAAATAAGATTGTTATCACGCAGCTGCAAAAGAAGAAAAATGGAGCGAGTATAGGCACTTCTGCCTCTACTGTTCAATTTCCTGCCACAAAATGTCCCGTCATTTGACTAGAAAACAAGGAAATGAAAGTGACGTAGCCAGAGCATTGGCTCTACCTGTGAAATCTAAAGCACGTAAACTTCAGTTTGATTTGATAAGGAATAGTGGAAACCGTGAGCATAATTTTGAGGTTTTAAAGGCCGGCATTGGAACTTTAGTCCCAGCTAAACAGCAAAATTGCCCAGTTAAATCCAGTGAGTTTTTGCACTGTATAGACTGTGGGGCATTGCTTAAGCGAAAGTCGCTGTGGAGGCATGTGGCCAGGTGCCGGCTTTCACAGAAAGATGCCCAGGCTAAACCAGGTAGAAGTAGGGTCCAGTCCCTCTGCTCCCTAGCCCAGCCTGTACCGGAGGGCATCAGCAAAAAGCTGTGGTCTTTAATTTCGGCAATGCATCAGGATAAGGTCACAGGTGAAATTAAATGAAAATGTTGTGGGAAAACTATATAAAAACTGATACTAATTGTAAATTCCAACAGACAAGGTTCTTGTTGCAGAGAGCAATTTTTATTCAACCGCCATATCACACCAGGAAGAGCTCGCTCTCTCACGCTCCCGCGTAGTGACGCAGTAGAACCCGCGACAGAACGTAACATGTTAACAATCTCCCCCTTTCTTTAAAAATAAAAAAACATTTAAGTGTGCTTGAGAGACATACACACATCCAGAACAATGTACACAACAAAACAACAACAGTGCTAAGAGCCTGTGTAAACAGAAAAAGAAATTACAGTGACCATGAGCCCTCGTCTAATGCTTTAAGAAGCATAAGTGGTGAAGCTCCCTTTTTGGTTAAACAATCAGCAAGTTGTGACTTTGCCTCTGACCAACAGATCTGTCTGATTTTATTTGCATGTAGTAGCTCTTTAATGCTACTTATTTCTAGTCTCAGTCTCTTCTCTGTGACCTGCTTTGTGGACTTAAGAGCATCAAACAGTGAATGGTTATCAGTAACACAAACAAGAGGAAGAGCATTCATGTTAGCATTACCAATAGTAAGCTCTGAAAATAATGTGGCCAGAAACATAGCGTTGTCTATGCCATCTGCCATAGCGAGAGTTTCTCCTGCCAAAGTGCTTCTTACCACACGCCTGATCTTCTTAGACTGCCAAAACAAAGGGGAAAACATGCCTCCTTTACCCATAAGCACAATTAAAGTCCCTCCTTGAGTTGCACCATCTGGGAGATTGCCAAGTGAAGCATCACTAAAGACCACAAGACTCAGATCATCTTTGTTTCCTAAAGGCTGAAACTTAAGTGTGACGTTCTCTGACTTAAGTTTACGGATTACCTTGTTCACTTCATGTATGGATTGGACAGTTGCATTTGTAATGTTAGATGCTAGGCTACATGTGTCAAACATAACATCTGGCCTTGTTTGTTAAGCAACCCACAGAATCTGTCCTATTTTAGACCTGAGCTGCTCTTTCTCTGTCTCATTTAACCCTTGTATTATGTTGAAAAAAAATCACATTGATTATGTTGCGGGTCATTTTGACCCGTACTGTGTAAATGCACTCAAAACAGTCAAGAAAACAGGTTAAACCAACAACAACTTTATTTTGGGTTATATAAATATTTAGAAAAGTGACATACAATACATTTTTAATTCCAACGCTATATTTAAGAAATATTTAGTCTAATGTTCTTGTCCTCCTCTCGGGTCAAAATGACAATTCTTCCCTCCCTCTTTCCTCCTGCCATGCTTTATCCTTCCTTTTTCTCATCCTGTTTTCCTTCTCTCTGTTCATCCTCCTCTATTCCCTTCTTTTCTCTTCCTTCCTTCCTTTCTCCCTTCTTTCCTTCCTACTTTCCTTCCTTCCTCCCTTCCTCTTTCCTTGACCAAAGATTCGTCCTCTGAATCCTCCTTATCGTAGGAAAATTGTTAATCTGGATCAGCAATAACATTGTCCTCTGTCTCTGAAAAATCCTGTTTCTGAAATCTCTTCCTCCACATCATTATCCCAGTTAAAAATCTGTGATAAAGCCTCCTCAGATGTCATCCTTCTGGAGCTCATTTTTGGTGAGTTTGTCTAAAGCCTAGCGCACATGGACAGAGTAACTGGAGACAACTAGTTGCAAGGCGGCTTTTGGCAACTGAGAGGAGATGATGGAGATGATCAGTTGAAATCGGTCGATGTGCGCGCTCTTACAACTGGCACTGGCGCTCTTACAACTTTTTCGGCAACTAGTTGTCCTCAGATCCGGAGATATGACCCGATGTGCGCCCTCCAACAACATGTGTGTATTGCACGCTCTCTACAGTTTATGCCAGAAAACACACTATAGTTGAGGCCAGTTGCTGTCGATGTACGCGCTGTTATTCCCGAGACTGGCCTGTACTAGGAGTTGCCCGTTTTCGCCAGATTGTCGATGTGTGCGGGGCAGCAACTCAAAGGCGACGGATATAATCAGTTACCAGTCCGATGTACGCTAGGCAAAAGAGATGACATGAGAACAGTGACAAGGACAAGTGTGAGAAAGTTCCCTCTCTTTACACACCTGGCTCTGGCTCTCAGAGGCAATCAAAATAAAATGTCAAAGAGACATGTTTATTTGGATCTGAACAACTATTTACCAACATTAAAGCGTCAGGGTCAAAATGACCCGCAACATCATCTTTGTATACAAACTCTGCACAGACTGTCCACTACACATCAAAGTGTCCAGATTTTATACACCAGTTCATTCCCCTAGATGAGGAAAAGTCACCAAATTTCAGCAAGAAAAAGAAAGGATAACCAGTACTTTGATCAACACAAAAGCTGAAATGGGTCAAATTGACCCTTAACATAATACAAGGGTTAAAGGAGCAGTTCTCTGCACTGCCCGAGCTGCCTTTAAAGACACTGGTTGGAGATTTTCAATGTAACTGTGCTGATGTACCAATACATTGTCTCCAATTGTGACAATATCCATACCTACATAAGAAAAATTCTCATGTTCTTCACGCCCCACTTGAAAGGTAGACTTTACCACAGGAATCACTTTTGTCACAAACTGCTCAGATCCTGCCCAAAGGAAGTCATCTACGTGACATGACAGTACACCAATGACCTCAGAATTTTCATTCATCCAGAAAAACACAGCTGGATCCACCTGAGACATTTTTCCACCTGTGTTCAGCATCAGTTCTTTGACCTTGTTGTACCAGTAAAGAGAAGCGTCTGCAAGTCCATATACACATTTCTTTAGTTTCCACAATACATTGTCTCCTTCCGCCTCAGGTGGGGGCCGAATGTAAACAT